AAAAAAAAAAAAAAAATCAGTAGAAAAAATATCCTCAGGTGAGAATTAACAACAATAACAAAGTATCATGCAGGTGCTGTGTCCGAGTCTTGCTTTGACCCTACGATAAGATGGTCCCTCCAACTGTGCTGGACTTCAGTGCCTTGGAGGGAGGCAGGGCAGGGATCATGTCTCAGGGACTTGCAACATGCCCCAAACCCTAATGAGCAGCCCCCAATGGGAGCTCCGGGATTGGGGTCCCAGGCATAGCTGGGGTGTCTGGGTGACAACCAGGCCTTGAGGACGGGAGAAGGTGGGAAGCCAGGTGCAGGGTGCCAGTGTAAGGGACCTCCTGGGACTGCATCGCCCCCGTGGGGTACCAGACGGAAGAGGAAACGAGGCTCCTACCAACGCCAGAGAAACTATGTTGCAACTGGAGACAGAGTCCCTTGCAGGATGAGCCCCTTGGTAACCTTGTAACTTTGCAACTGTTGCACTTCAGGGGCTTCCTCGTGGACACAATGTTGCAGCCACTGCCCTGTGCCTCTCAGCATGCTCCCTCCGTTCCAACCAGAAGTAAGGAAGGAATTGGCCAGGGAAGGACCAAGTGTGCCATCACCGGGTTGTGGGCAGTTATAGGGACAGTCCCTGGTAGAGATGATGACATGCCTGCTTCTTGGGAGAAGGCGGAGGAAGGGGAACAGGGGAGGAAGCCGGAGCTGCCTGCCTCCCTGCCCCCAGGTGACCCTTCTCCTCCGTCTGTGGGTTCATCGCAGAGCAGACCAGCCTCCTTGTCACGGGGACCCCTTCTGCACCCCTCTCATTTCTGTACCCTTTGCCTTTCAGGTTGTCCCCGAGCTCTGGCCGGGGGGCCCCTTCCCCAAAGATGGACATAAACATGACGCGTCCCGACAACGCCACCATCCTGATGCTGAAAAACCCGGCCATCGCGGTGGTCCTGCCGGCGGTGTACTCCTTCGTGGTGCTGGTCAGCATCCCGGGCAACTTCTTCTCCTTGTGGGTGCTGTGCCGCCACATCGGGCCCAAGTCCCCGTCGGTCATCTTCATGATCAACCTGAGCCTCACCGACCTGGCGCTGGCCTGCGTCCTGCCTTTCCAGATCTATTACCACTGCAACCGCAACCACTGGGTGTTCGGGACGCACCTGTGCACCGTGGTCACCCTGGTCTTCTACGCCAACATGTACTCGTCCATCCTGACCATGACCTGCATCAGCGTGGACCGCTTCCTGGGCGTGGTGTATCCACTGGCCTCCGCGCGCTGGAGGCGCCGGCGCTACGCGGTGGCCACGTGCGCGGGCACCTGGCTGCTGCTGCTGGTGGCCCTGTCGCCCCTGGCGCGCACCGACCTCACCTACGCCGTGGAGGAGCTGGGCATCGTCACCTGCTTCGACGTGCTCAAGTCCACTATGCTGCCCAGCGTGGCCATGTGGGCCATCTTCCTCTTTACGCTCTTTATCGTCCTGTTCCTGGTGCCCTTCGTGGTCACCGTGGCCTGCTACACGGCCACCATCCTCAGGCTCCTGCGCACCCCGGATTCGCACGGCCAGGGCCAGAGGCGCCGCGCGGTGAGCCTGGCGGTCGTGGTCCTCCTCGCCTTCGTCACCTGTTTCGCGCCCAACAACTTCGTGCTCCTGGCGCACATGGTCAGCCGCCTCTTTCTGGGCACCAGCTATTACCACGTCTACAAGCTCACGCTCTGCCTCAGCTGCCTCAACAACTGCCTGGATCCCTTCGTGTACTATTTCGCATCCCGCGAGTTCCAGCTCCGGCTCCGCGGCTACTTGCGCACCGGGACCCCGCCACCCAGCGCCCTGAGCGCGCGCCGGGAAAGCGTCTTCTCCGGCCGGACGCTCTTGGCGCCCTCGGTGTCCAGCTGCCACGGCGATATGCTGGAGGCGGCCGCGCGGCCCTTCCTCCAAAGGCAGGAGAGCGTGTTCTGAGCCTGGCAACCTGGGGAGGGCAGAGGGGGGGACACCTGGCCAGGGGAAGACGGGACTATGAGCTTTGTCTTTCCTGATGCTCCTGCCACCATCTGAAGCCACGGGGAAGGCTCCCCAGGCTGCCACAGGGGGCTGGCCAGACTCCCCGCACCCAAGCACCACTGCTGGCCCACGGACGCAGCAAGGGGACAGACAGACAGGGCGGTTTTTGGGGGAAGATGGTGGGGGCGTGCCAAGGAGATGTGTTCCTGCTGCCTGGGGATTGAGACCCAGCCTGTCCCCTCCTGAGGGCGAGCAAGGGCGTGGCCAGTCCAGGTGTGTCCCTGTGGGGCCCTGACCCTCTGAGTCAGCCACCTGCCTCATTTCTGGTCTGGGACGCCCAGGGGACACGCTGCTCTCCCAGGGCCTCATGTACATTTCAACGTGGGCACAGCCAGGCTACCACACACAGGCCCCTTGGGTCCCAAAGCCCTGGAAGTTCAGGCCCCTTCGTGTCATCTGATCCCACAGGAGCCAACCCCAGGGGGCCTTCCAACTCCTGCGTCACTCTGGGCTCAAGTTCTACTTAAAAATCCCAGGCAGGAGTGAAGGATTTGCAGGAGGTGAGGCTCAGGCCCCCATCGACGGCTGAGGGTCTCCGAGTGGACTGTGTGAGGGGCACTGAGCGTCCACAGCTTGGGTGTGACCCCGCCAACTGAGATGCTTCGGGTGCAGCTGGACTCGAGGGCTCCCTCTGCCCATTTGGGGGCTGCTGCTCCCAGGCCGACGGCTCTGGCCATGGCAAGAAGTCCCAGGTGCCAGGAGGCTCCTCTCCAGAAGCGCGCACCCAGGCCAGCCCACCGGATCCTTTGGGGAGCGTGCACCTGACCCCACAAGCCCACAGGAGTGTCCTCAGCCCAGTGCAGCCCCGTGAGGCCCACCGGCCTCAGTTCAGCTCGGGGCTTCCTGCCTGCACCGGGACCATCCACCTGAACCAGCCGCGAAATGCGGGCTCCTCCGGGAAGGCGAGAAACCCACACCCAGGGTGTGCAGAGCTCCGGCGCCCAGTTTGCAGAAACAGACGGTCCGCTCTAGAGTCTGCACAGCGGGAGCTCGGAGGCGCCACCTGGTGGCGGGATGTCTGTAGGGCAGGCAGCCTCCCCCCCAGAGTCCAGGGTGCTGGTGGACCTCTGAGCCTGCTCCCCGCCAGGTACAAGACAGACACAACTGGACCGGGGTGAAGAGTGTCACCCCCAAATCCATGCCCACCAAGGACCTCAGAATGGAGCCTAGTCTATTCCATTTAGAACCTCAGAATGTCACCAAATTAGGAAACAGGGTCTTTGCAGGTGGGGTGAAGTGAAGGCTCTGAGATGAGCTCAACCTGGATCAGGGGGGGCTGACATCCAAGGNATTTGCAGGTGGGGTGAAGTGAAAGCTCTGAGATGAGCTCAACCTGGATCAGGGGGGCCTGACATCCAAGGACAGGGTCCTTCTAAGAGACAGAAGCAGAGACACAGACACAGAGGAGAAGCCACGTGGAGACGGAGGCAGAGACGGNCTTTGCAGGTGGGGTGAAGTGAAGGCTCTGAGATGAGCTCAACCTGGATCAGGGGGGGCTGACATCCAAGGACAGGGTCCTTCTAAGAGACAGAAGCGGAGACACAGACACAGAGGAGAAGCCACGTGGAGACGGAGGCAGAGACGGGAGGGAGGTGGCCACCAGCTCGGGGACGCCTGGAGCCCCAGGAACTGGAAGAGGCAGGAAGGACCCTCCCCTGGAGCCTCCGGACGGAGCACGGCCCTGGGACACCTGGATCTCAGATGTCTGGTCTCCAGGANAAAAAGGCAAGGACCCTCCCCTGGAGCCTCCGGACGGAGCATGGCCCTGGGACACCTGGATCTCAGATGTCTGGTCTCCAGGATGGGGGGGACAATGAATTTCTGTGGTTTTAAGCCCCCAGTTTGTGATCATTTCTTACGGCCGTGTCAAGACGCTGAAATTTGTTTAAGCCACTCTGGAATTCTGTCGCCAGGACAGGGACAGATATAAAGCATGGGCCCCAGGGTGGGGGACTGAAGGTGCACCCTGCCCCGTGCTGGCCCCCTGCTTCCTGGGACCCAACCCCCTGGGCAGGGCCAGGGGGCCACACCTGTGTCAGGTGAGGGCTTTTGGATAGACGAGCTGAACATCCTCGGTGTAATGTCCACGGAGCCCATGGGGGAGACCCTCTGCCCCAGAAGGCTGCTCTGAGGACTGAGGGGTCCCGGTGGGAGGGAGATCTCATGTTTTCTTTCTACCTGCTACCTGTTGACTGTAAACTGTGGAGTCTGGTACCTGCCCTGTGAAGGCTCCAGACCCCCTATCCATGTCTGGTGTTAGAATCCAACCCACATTCCCACCTTGGCCATCTGCCCGTGTATGTCCTTTAGGGTAAAAGGCATGTGCAGGTGGAGAGCTTACCCTTGGGACCTGAGAGGTGACCTCAGGGTCCCTTTAATGACCTGCACAGGACCGTCACTCACAGAGTTGCATCCGGGATGTCCGCACAGGGGACAGTGTCCGAGCCCATGGATCCTGGATTGTTTGCAGGGAGCTGACAGTCACATGCCAGCTTTTGCATGACATCCTGAGCCTCGCCTGAAACAGGACTTCGGGGGACGGGGGGGGGGAACTGAACAAAGGCCGAGACCCAAATTCTCCACGAGGTGTGACATCCTGCCTGTCCCAAAGCCCAACCCTAGAAAGCAACATCAAACTCAGCGACATCCCCACCCCCCGGGGTCAGAAACGCCGAGCCTGCAAGACTCCAATGCTGACACCCACGTTCGTTCATCATCGGGGTGTGAGACTCACACATCAGGTGCCAAAAAAAAAAAAAAAA